TGAAGATTGGGATATATATATATATATTTGTGACAGGAAAAAAGTCTGACTCCAGTCAGCCACACTCCTGTCAGATGTTTGATATTAGCATGGGTGGACCTTTTTCCCTAAAGCAACATCTCTTACTGAGCCAAGAACCTGAGGCAAATTAGATACAAAAGCAGGATAAGGTATGCTAATGAACACTCTACATGCACTTGTTCCTCTTTTCACCTCTGAGCTGTGACTTCTCATTCAATAGTCTACACCAGGTAGCCACAGGTAACATGTAATATTATGGTTGTAGTGTCCAATGTGGCCCTTCTTAGGGCTCTGCATTTTTTTGGTCACTCGGGTTTGGGTTACATGTAAGAATAGTTGATGCTGGAGTATTTCTGTACCTGGAAAACATCAGCATCAATAATTAATTGACTGTGTGGCTTCAGCAATGGGAATAGGAAAAGATAGATACTTCAAGTTGAAATGGATGTGTGGTTCTTTAAAGGTACTAAACAGAGCAGAATGATTTCTTGCCTTGCAGATATTGTTTTTAAATACAGCTATGTCTTTTACAGTAAGATATTATTTATGGTAAGTAATAAAAGATTAGATTGCTTTTGAAGACAAACCCGAGGGAGTACTTCCAGTTGTGTTGCAGGCTTTAAGCAGTGTTGTTTGAGATTTTGGGTGCCTGTCTCCAAACTTTACTGCCCTGTTTTGGCAGCTGCTGAAAAGGCAGAGGATGTATTAATTCAAGTGAGGGGATGGGGCTGAAATTGTAGTATAAACCCAGATTCCCAGAATGGTGGACAGCTTCTGGGGGTGTAGCTGAGGCATCTGGGCACTTCCATGCCCTCACCCCTGAAATGGGTAAGGCAAGGACTGCCTTCGTAAGGAACTGATGGGACTTAGTCTATGGATGCTGCCAGAAATAACAGGAAGTAGAGTATTAGAATTGGAAATAGCAGTCTCAAGGGTTGAGGTTGACATGTTGAGCCTGCGTGACAACCAGGTGACAGAGAGGGCTGGGGAATCTTTTGTTTGAGGAGTCCAGTGTTGTTTTAAACGAAACGCTGTCGCTGGCATATGTTAACAGCATCCATGTTATGGTGTGAGCTGCCAGCTGCACAAATGTGGGATGAATTTTCCTTTTCTACAGAGAATGCTAGTAAAACGAGACCTTGTTTGTGGCAAACACAAGCGCCAGTGTGCTCAGATCAAATAATTGCTCTAATGATCTTAGCCTGCAGTGACAATTATAACTCAATAGCCTGATGCATAGTAATGGCTGCTATCACATCAAATTGGTCTGCTGAAGAGCATAGAGCACCCATACAATTGCTCAGTGAAGTAAAGGGTCTTGGGTGGAGGAGCCCTTCCCCTCTCTACCTTCTGCTTGTGCAGGTGAAGGCCTTTCTCCCCCCTTGCACCCTGCAGGGTGGTGACATGCTGTGTGTTTGCATTTCCAGGAAACCTGCGTGGATTTAACATGACAGCGCCAGCACTGCAGCAGTTCTTCCCTCAGGCTACAAGACATTCCCTCCTGGGGCCACCACCCGTTGGGGTCTCCTTAAAGCCTCGCATGGGCTTCCCCAACCTCCCCTTCCAGCGGCAGAACCGGACCTTTCGCAAGGTGGGCTTCCAGTTTCCAGCTGGTGAGGAGCTTTGTGCTCCTTTTGTACTTCCAGCAGTTGACTGTATTGTAGGCGGAGAACAAAAGAGCAGGGAGAGAGCCTTACAATGAAAACAGCACTTTGCACCATGCTGCTGACACAGAACTGCACAAATGGGTCCATCTTTAAGATTCTTGTGGTCCCTATTTATATTCATGATGAGAAGGTTTCTTGTCACTTCTTGCCCAAGAGAGACAATTCCTCATAGCAGAACAGTTTACACCTAAGATGTAAAAGGATCCTTTAGAAGTGCCAGCTTCAAAGTAATTGCAATAGAAGAAATCCTGGCTGAGTGCTTTGCTTTTCCCAGAGGCCAGAGTTCTGTCCCATTAGCCTTCCAAACCAGTTTGTTGTTCCCAAATGACTTGCTCCTACCATGGACATGTCACTGCCTCTTTGGGCTGGTTTCCCTTTTTGTTTTTTAAGGTCAGGATCATATTTGTTCTTGTGGATTTTGTAAAATCTATGGGGTTTTTTTTGTAAAAACCTTTATCACTTTCCACCATGAAGACCTGTGTAGTGTCCTGGAAGTGGTTCTTGGCTTAATTGACCAGTACTTCCCTCCTCTTAGATTAGCTTTTGCATAGTTGGTTCCATTCTGTCAAAAAGATGTGGTGGATAAGGTAAATTTCCACTCTTGGACTGTCCTTTCTCAGGAGCTGAAAGGAAGGGGGATTATTTTGGACTTTTCTTTTTCCCTGCCAATGCACCTCTTGCCAGAGCCCCTCTAAAGGGACCCAACTCCCTGCAAGCAGCTAGGTTTCCTACAGTTGCTACTTAAAGCACTGGAGAAATGTCATTGTAAACCATCTATTCCTTTCTATTCCTGTGTGCTGGAATTCCTGTTACTGCCCCCAGTAAAACTCTGGTGCTTTGGGTGGCATTTTGGGTTTGAGGAAGGACCAAGAGCTGGCAGTGACTCTCTGCCCGTTGCAGGACTTCCACAGGGTACCTGACAGAAAGCGGGAATTAGACCCTGGTTCTTCATCTCAGTCACAAGGTGATGAGAAAATGGATATCCCAGAGGGAGTGCAGGCAGGGTCAGAGCGGAACAACTCCTCACCATCCACAGGTAAGGGGGAGCCTGTAGTGAAACAAATGCTTGTGGTCATTATAAACTGCTGTTAGCTATTTCTGCAGCAAAGGCTGGAGATTACTTTAGTCTTAATCACCTACATTTCTCTCTTGACTGTAAAGACTTAAACTGCCTGTGAGCCCTCTGCTCTCAGGATATATGTGCTTCATATAGCCTTTTTACCTGGATATTTTTGGGGGTTATAACCTCGTTCCGTATCTCTTGGATGGAAGCCTCTCAGAAGTCACTTTGATAGTGAGCCCCATTTAAGATGGGGGCAGGGGGACCTGCTTTGAAATTGAAGCTTCCACATTGCCTTTCGCATGCTGAACTCACCATCTCATGGAGTCAAACACATGAAGCAAAACCAGTTGCTATCAACATGCTAAGGAAAAGATGAGTTGCAAGAGTACTTGTACTCTAGAACAGAATCTCTGGCACTGAATCTCTTAGTGTTGGATACAATACAGATGTGGGGATGTTATTTCTGGCTGAAGAGTGCCTAATCTGAAAATGCAGGTGTATGACAAGGTTGTGAGCAGTGTATATGCAGTGGTGAAAATTACCTGATTAAAGGGTGCTGTCAGATAGATCTGCCACCTTGGCTTATATTAATGTTCCTGTGACTGGGGCTCTTGTCACCTTAAGTATAGGACTAAAACCCACTTAGTAGACGTAAATATAGATTTCTTTCTGGATGACACCTCATCCAGTGACATCTGCAATTAAACTCAAGTCTCTCAGGTCATTACCTAACCTTGTCACTACCATCCTCAAATTCAGAATAAGCAAGTGTATAGTGTTTGCTCTAACAGAGCGTTATTGGCATTGGCCATTCAGTTAGGGAACATGCTCAGGGTGGCATGTTCTGCTTTGCTAAGGAGATCTCCTTCTGTCTTCTTGCAGAGCCAAGAACTCCAATAGAATCTGTGTTGAACACTGAGCCTGCAGCAAAAAGACTGAAGAGGTATTTATTGAATGGGGTATTGAAATAGTTACTGGGCTTAGAATTATTGTCTGGTTTTATTTCCTAATGATTAGGGCTGTACTGTACTGGCCTGATGTCTGGCTCGTAGGAGGTATTTCAGATGCTCATGGACAATTCAATCTCAATATGCTTCTGAGATCCAGCATGTTGCAGGGTCTCTGCTGAGGGTGATCCAGCTTTGGGAATGAAAAAGACGAGCTGCAGCTCATGTAAATGTGCAACAAAGTGGAGTTTGCTCATGTGTTCTCCTGCCAGGATTCTTGTAAGAAGCAGAAAGGTTCTTTTCTATCCTGATACATTTCTCTAAATTTTCTTCTCTAAATGTCAAAAGGGAAATGAGCAGCTGTGTATCAGCAGAGAGAAAAAGCCTTGGAATATATTCTGTTACAGTAGGTGTAGGAGAAGGTAGTTTATTTTGAGGAATGAGGAAGGGAAGGCACTCAATATTCCCTAGTATCGAAGCCTGTATCCGTGAGCGTTGAATTCTGTATCCCTTCTGCAAAGATTCTTGCCAGTACCCCTGTCTGCTGGGTAAAAATAGACAAAGGCAATCCTATTAGCGCAAGGGCTGCGCAGCGGGCAGCAGGCTGCCCCCCAGGCCCGGCTGGACTCTCCTGCCTCCCCGGCGGTGCAGGCAGGGACAGGCAGCGCTGCATTGCCATCTAGTGGGACGGCAGCTCCTGGTGCCATCTGCGCAGCCTCTCCCGGGGCTGCCGCCGTTGGCTGGTGCAGAGGGAGAAGAGGAGGGAGTGAATGCAGATTTCTGGAGGCATTGATTTGAGAATTCCTCAACATATGTTAATGACTGTGAGTCAGGACTCCTGGGGCCTCTTATCGTCCCTGTTAACAATTCACTGTGTGCTTTTGGACAAGTTTCTTCACCTCTCTGTTTCCCATGTGCAGATTAGAGATTAATGGCTAGCTTTAGGGAGGATTACTTTCATGTTCAGATGTTACCTTGATCATGTTAAACATCAGAGAGTGATAAATATTATGTGAGCAGGGACTGTTGTCAATTATGGACACTGATTAGCAAGAAAGTGAATAAATTCAATTAAAGCAAAGTCGAATGCATTTGCGCGTGTGCTTTGTTAATCTGTTTGCCAAAGCTAATTTAATTTTAATTACATTAATATTTAGTAGGGTATTAATCAAAGTCCTGTTCCATACACTGAAAAAGGACTTAAGCCTGAGGAATGACAGCTCTCTCTGCAGCAAGCCTGCTATTAGGAAAAGCCTTTCCTAAGCAGTAGTTAGGGACTGCCAGATTTGATGCATATATTATGGCTGGTATTTACTTCGAATAGATCATTCCTTAGCTTTCTTTTAAGTGTTTTTGTTTACTTCCAGTGAACAGTGATGGATGTCTGGAAAAAAATAGCTTACTGTTCTCTTTTGCCCTTCACAGATGATGAGAAGGGCATTCCCCCATCCATGTCACACCTTTTTGTTTCGTGCTTCGCTGTTCCATTTCCCCTTGCCCAGGAATACCAGCCTCCTTCTTCATTTCAGGTTTTCCCACTTGTGCCTTTTCATACCTGGAACAACATCCTCATTCCAGTGCAGAAAGCACTCATCATCTTCAAATTCTCCTTGAACGCCCACTTCTAGCACGGCCTGTCAAGTATCCACAGAATACCATTTGCTCCTTAGATCATGCTTGTGATGTCTTTTGCTCCCTTAGACTGCTCCTTAGATTTGCAGTTTAGACTGCAAACCCCTGCCCTGGAGTGCTGTCACCATCTGTGTGTGGTGTAGTGTTGAGCCTGCTGGCAGCACTTAACAAATAATGTTAATGCCAGCCACTCTTTTCTTCATGGTTGCACTGCCCAAACCCTGCTGCATATCTGAAGTTGTGTAACCTGGTTCCATTGTCACTTAACAATCCCACGAATTATGGGGGGGAGGGTGTTTGGATTACTGGATGCAGTTACCTGCACAGTCTGCACTCTTGCTTGTGCAGAACATGCTGCTCCGTGTTGGCAGAAGGACAGCAGCGGGTGGGATATCAAGCCAGCCTCAGAGAGAAGACATTCAAACCATAGTGAAATGTGCTAGCCCTGATGGGAGAATAAGGGATGGAGAAAGATACTAAAAAGTCCACTTTGTGCCCTATGGAAGCCAACTGTTCATTCTCAGCGTTCCCCTTGAGATCTTTTATCTCCTTAGCAGATCACCAGTACCAAATAAACCAAAGTCCTTTTGATTTGCATCTCGTACAGTTCCACTTCCCTCACAAGCAGAACTGTAGGGGCTCTGGAATGAAACACGACTGATACAAACAGAGCAGGCAGTGATGATGAAAACCCTGTAAGACACCACTGTGAACCCATTCAGTTCTGACAGATCTCTGTTTCGTCTTGCACAGAGCAGCCTGGAATACTGTCTGGGTATTGCAGTTTCCCTGCAGGTCAGACAAGAGTGAGCTCTGGAAGCTCTTGTTAAGAATATTTCCTCTGTGAACTTATTTCCCTGCAGGCCTCTGGCAGGAGAGGGCAGTGATCAAAAAAATCCAAAGTTCCAAAGTGATCCAAAAAGTGGTAACTTTCTTGTCCAGATTGTTTGGCTGCTCCTTCTGAAGCTGTTCTAGAATGCCTCCCCTTCATTGTTTTATTTTGCCAAACCCTTGCCTGAAATACCACTCCCAGTAGTGTATTTATTTGGGGATTTAGTGGAGAGTGTGTGGTAGCTTAGACCCTAGCCTGTGCCTTGGTGTGTCTTCTGGATCTCTCTGTCTGTAACATAGTGAATAAGGTTATTTTCTTGATATCCTTCAAGTGTGACTGAGGAGTCTGCATTAGAGGATGCCACAGACAGCAGGGAAGCAGGAGAGTCCAGCTCCCGTGTCCAAGCTGATGGTAAGTTGCTGAGCACCATGACTTATGCTTTTAGGGCACTCCTTGGTGGAACTGCATCTGTAGATTAGGTGGGTCTTGTTGGAAGTGTCCTTCTTCCACTGATACAGGATGGGGAAAGGAGAAAACCTAGGAGCCACATCCACACATAGTCCTCTAAACCTGTTGCCTACCAAATGCAAATGATGGGAAGTTTCCCTCTTTAATAAGGAATTTTTTTTGTTGAGAAAGGTTTGTGAACTGGGCTCGTGGCCAGCAGTGCTGTGAGGAAAGCTCCCTGGCTTCATTCACCTGCTGCTTTGTTTTTTCTGTCATTGCTATTTTGATTTAAGGCAGCTAAAAAGACTCTCTCTTCCTAGGTACAGACAATGCAAAGGAGTACACAGGTGAAGATCTCTCTAAAGAGAGGAAATTCTCTGAGGAACCAAAGGCTCCTGAGGTGAGTAGACACCACTCTGTGCAGGGGTGGTGCAGAACATAAAACCTCCCCCTCTATCCCAGAGAAGCCCGTTGCCACTGGGAACCAGATGGCACCCACGTCTGGAGCTCTGTCTCCTGCTGTAAGCTGTTGTCCCTGGCAATAAGGCATAATATGTCTGTAATTAGTGCACAGTCTGCTCTGCCTTGCTGCTTTTGTACCTCTGCTAGGCTGTACCTTACCCACTGCTGGCTGTTTGTGGTGCCGGGGTTTGTTAAGATTTCAGTAGTCATCTGGAAAGATGGGAAGTTGAATTGGAAGAACCACTGAAAAATATATGTATTGAGAGCCATAGCTGAATACGTTTTTTATGCTGCAGGAGAGCAGGTGTAAAAAGAAATCAGGTGAAAAGATGGGAGCTGCTGTAGGACTTGCCATTGGAGCAGGTGCGAGCAGATAGTGGGAGTCTCTGCTTTTCAAAGGCAGCTTGGAAAAATGAGATAGAGGTGAAGCCAGCAAAACCTGAGTCTTTTGCATGAAATACATTGCCCACATGTTAGACGTTAAACCAGGTCCTTGTGCTGTGTAAATCTGTAAGCAAAGATTGAACCTGTGCTGTGAATCAGACTGGATAGTCTTCCATAACTGGAGATGCTTGTTGATGTGATCATATCTATCGTTCTGCCCTTGTTTGAGTTTCTTACTCCATCAGGTATGGTGCTGAGTTGCCTTTAGGTCTGCAGTGGAGAAACACAAGCTGATTGTGCCCCTTACCAACAGGTCGTTGCTCCAGTCTCCAGAGGCTGGATCGTACAGTATCTACAGAGGCTGTAGGAACAATCATCTGTACTAACAGGCCTGGTGCTATGACACAGGATTGCTGATTTAGGAGTGTGTACAAGAGTCTCTCTGATCAGCCTCCTGGGGTTTCAAGCTTCAGTACATTTTTGTTAGGGGTAGAGAGCTTAGGTCCCATGAAAAAGCTGGTGTCATTTTTAGTGTCTTCCTCTGAGAGACGGGACATAATCTTGACTCCTTCTTTTGGCAGGTGTTGAGCTCTGGAGGTTCACTGAAAGTGACCATCCAGCAGAGCAGTGAGAGCAGAGCTATCAGTACAACAGCTCTGAAGCCAGGCCACTGGACCTGCGAGGTGGGCACAGCTGATCCCAACCCTGAATCCGTCCTTAAATTCTACTGTTACATCTGCAAGACCAACTGCTGCAGTCAGCAGGTAAAAATCCACAGCTCTGACTGGGATATGGGTGGTCAAGAGAAGTGAATTACATGGCTGTGGGGAGGTGCAGCAGGAGGCTTGTTAACAAGAGCTTGTACTTTGGGAACAAAGAACATAAAAAGTAAAAGACAAGCGTGCAGATAAAATAAACCTCTTCTGCAGAGCTGGCAAGCAACCTGCTCGAGAGCAAATGTGGGTGGATCCACAGGCAGCCATGCTCTTAAGCTTTTATACCACTTCATTGTTAACCAGCAGTCAAGAGAATGGAAAGCATAGCTCATGCCTATTATTTTCTATATTTTGGATACATATAAATGGATTTTTCTCCTAACCTCTCTCTCAGAATTTCCAATCCCACATGGCTGGAATTCAGCACCAGCAGCGACTTGGGGAGATCCAGCACATGAGCAATGTTTGTTTTGTTTCATTACTGCCCATGGTGAAGGAGCAGAAGGCACTAGCAGAAAAAGATGGGTAAGTGTTGGTTTGCACTAGAAAAATCAGTCTGAATATGGACCTAAAATTCCTCACTGTGCCAGGGTGCCCCCGTGTTCTAGGTAAGGTACAAAATCCCTCTGGTTTCAGGAGCCTTAATCTCCTTCAGGCAACTTTCTCCCTGCTGAAGGATACCAGGGTTGGCTTTGACCTGCCGTGTAGTTTTTAATACAGTAGATCCAGTTGGGGTCTCGTTTTAACTGGTGCCTTTCTGTCAGCATGAGATAAAGTAACCTATATAAGTGGGTGGGAAGGGGAGAAGATAAATCCGAGCCTGTAAAGATAGGAATGCTGGGGAAAACAATGCCAGGAACAGATTGCAAATTGCAGTATTCCATGGAGGTGTGACTTACAGATATATCTGTTCTCACTTTCAGAGAGACCCAGCAGCGATGGTGTAACACTTGTCAGATACACTTCACAGGGGATCTAATCAAACATCGCAGGACCCAAGAACACAAGGTAACAACCATAGCATGGATTTAATCTGTGCACTGACCTTTCCTGGGGATTGAGTGGAAGTGCCCAGCATCTCCTGCTCCTCAGGCAGCAAAGGAAGAGCAGTTGGAGTGGAGAGATGCACGTAAAGTTCTGCCAGTACCATCCTCACTGTTGAAGGGCGCTGCCGTGCTACCTCCTGCCTCTGAACACTGGCACTGTTGGAGCTTCCAGCCATGGAGCTTCGTGCTGTGTCAGGTGGCCTGAAGCACCTCTGGTTTATAATTCTTGACTTTTCTCAATAACTATGGCCTGTCACCTCATCAGTTGAATGGAGGAACTGGTGGGCAGTCTGTAAAGTGCTTCTCTTGTGACTTGCTGAATTGTCCTTCTTCCCTTAGCTGGCCAAACGCTCGCTTCGTCCCTTCTGCACTGTCTGCAGCCGCCACTTCAAGACCCCTCGCAAGTTTGTGGAGCATATGAAGTCCCCTGAGCACAAACAGAAAGCCAAAGAGGTAATACTGCCTGAGTAGATACCTGTGGAGGACTGGAGGCAGCTGCACTGTGAAGAAGATTAACTGTCTGCTTCCCTCACTACTGAAGGGATGAAAGGAAGACACGCAGTTCTTCCAGCCCTGTTTTAGTTTTCATCTTTCGCTGGACTTCAATTGTTAGAGCTTAAGGAAATTGAGTAAAAAAGGGACAAGGACTTAGATGTGTCTAGAAGTGAGATAGATTTGTGCCTTTATTGCAGTCCCTTCTACGCATCACATGCAGTCTGTTCAGAATCTGGGTTTTCCTTGGTTAAATGGAGAGTGCAGAGTTGGTCTGATCTTTCTTTTCTGTATGTGACAGGTGAGGCTAGGAGAGAAGGAGTTGGGCAGCCCAGAAGATTCAGAGGAGTTGATCACAGTGGATGCTGTTGGCTGTTTTGAAGATGATGATGATGAAGAGGAGGAGGAGGAGGGGGCAGCTGGTGAGGAGGAAGACCTTGATGTAGTGCTGATAGAGAATGAGGATTCTGCTGCAAAGCAGGTATGCCATATGAAAGGAGAAGGAACGACCTGTCAGAATCTGCTGTGGGATCCTGTGACTTAGTTGGTCTTGCCTGGTTGAGCTCCAGGTTTCAAGAGTCCAGACCAGTTTGCACCCTGCAGCAGGAGGGTGAGGGCTCTGAGGTTTTTCCAGAGCAAAGGAGAATCAGGGACTACCTGTGGGATACAGGAGGGTGTTTCTGCTGTGCTCTACAGCTCCTACTGGTGTCTTCAAATGTGACCTTGCCGTTGAGGAGCATAAGCAGTGGTTTCTTAAGGGAAAGAATTTCTGACAAAGACACTGACATAGTCTCCTTGAATGGCCACACGGTACCTTGGTCTCGTAGCATTAACATATGTGTGGAGGTTTATCTTGGTAAATATTTTCCCAGTTGAGAGCAGTTACCAAGAAGGAGGTATGTGGCTAAGCTACATCAGGCTTGGAGTGCAAGGGGTGTTGTTAACCCTTGTAACAGAGTGGCCTGCTGACAGTGGGGTTTGTATCTGGCCCTAACCAGGTGCTGTGCAACTCTGCCTCTGGTATGTGAATCCTGTTTTGCTCCCAAGCTTATCAGCAAAGCCCAGGAAGGGAATTGGCAGAGATACAGTAAGCACTAATGTTCTTTTGGTTTCCAGACTGGGCTGAAGGAAGTGTCTTTGGAGAATTACGAAGGAAGCGAGAAGTATTGTCCAGACACAGCCTATGGTAAGCAAGCAGAGTTAAGTGCAAAAGCCCAAGAGCCTTCTCTGGCCACACACTGTATCTGTAAGAGAGGGTGATCTCTACCTACTGCAGTAACAACTTCTTGGGCCATGGTGCTTCAGCATATGCATTGGACTGGTGCAGGTCACTGCTGCCTGGAGAAAGAGCCAAACGTTGCTTTATTACTGTGTGATAAATCATAAGGATGCGATTGATGTTTGTCAGCAGCCTTTTGCTTTGAAGAAGAAAGGATGAGAGCCAAATTCCTTACTAAGGTAGGAAATGGACAAGTAGGGCAGGGGAAGAAAGTAGGTAGCAAATGAGAGATGCTCTGGAAAGATGGAGCCTGGAAGCATATTGATTGGAATGCTTTCCAACAGAAATGCAGCTTGTATAGAGATACTGAGCAGTACTGACAGTATCGAGCTCTCTGCTAGAGCCCAAACTGTGCATGTTTCCTCTGCTTCAGAACCCCCACGCTCCACCTAGCACTTACTCAGACATGTTGCTGGACTGGTGGGCAGTGTTGCCTCCAGATGGCTGTCCCTGGTCCCCACCCTGCAAGCGATTCTGACTTCAAACCTCTAACGGCCGCTGGTGTTGCGAGGAGGGCAGCTCTGCAGAGGCTGTTTTGTGCCCAAGGAGAGCTCTGTTTACACCAATCTTCCATATCCCTGTAACCTTCCACTATCGTGTGGCAGATGGAATAATGATTCATGCTGTGAATGTTCTCTGCGTGTTCCTCTTGCGCGCCTGCTGTCTTCTGCTTGGTTTGATCCCATTACATGAGATCACATGTTCTCTGTAGTTTTCCATTGTATTCTTTTTTTCCTCCCCCCTCTCCTTTAATGCTCTGTGTAGTTTCTTTGCTCTGGCAGCCAGATTTCTCTCTGAATATCAACCACACAGCCATTCCATGGTAAGATGAGATATTCAGCAAGTCATCTTGCAACTCCCTGATTAACAGAAGCAAAGCTCTCCACTTTTCTTCCCCCTTCAACCCTCTCCCTTTTAACATGCTTTCATTATTTGAGTTCCATTCAATGTGATCTGTGATTTCCCTTCCCCTCCCGTTTCACAGGCCTGGATTTTCTGGTCCCCGTCGCAGGTTACCTCTGCAGGCTGTGTCACAAATTCTACCATAGCGACTCTGCTGCCCGGCTCGCACACTGCAAGTCCCTGATGCATTTTGAGAACTTTCAGGTTAGACCCTTTGGCGATTGCATGGCCTGGCATTTGTTACCCCCCGTGCGTGTCTCTTCAGCCAACCCACCATGTTAGCTGTCTTGTCTTCAGTTCATTTCCATCCTCCTTAGTGTCCCTTGTACCATAGCTTTCTCCTGGTGTGCTCTGTGTTTGTCTCCCATCACCCCTGTAGATCTGAAAGCAGTCCAGTCCCGCTTCCCAGCTACTGCTGCTGTCATCTTGTTGCCCATTTCTGGCTGGAAATCTTCCTCAGAGTGTCTGCTCTGTTTGCTGAACCTGTGGAGTCTATCGTTCAGTCGAGGCCTCTTTGTTAGACAGATTACAGGTGGGTCTAGGTGGGGAAAGAACAAGAGAGAGAGGCTGTTCCTTATAAAGAAAGCTGGTACATAATACGTCTTTGCCTGTGATACTGCAGGAACAGCTCCACTAGCCAAAATTGTGGGTGTGATTCATCCATGAAGGAGCCTGGTAAAATCAGGTACTTGCCTTAGATATCTGGAAATTTAACATTACAGACTCTTTATGTGATGGAAGCTACCAGCAGTTGAGAGTCCATTTGGTCCCCAGGGTCAGCCTGCAACAGGAATTGAGTGTGTCTGTCTGTCTGCTGCCCTTTCCTAGAAACTCCTCAGCACAAAGCTCTGCCAGCTGATGCTGTTCCTTTGCTTTACTGGCTCCACCTAAAGAAGCCCTATTGCCCCTTGCTGCTTTTGTATCTAGAAGCTTTTCTTACTGGGCTGGCCTGGAATCTGCCTCCATCGTTCTGTCCTTGTTGACTTGCCAGGGGGTGAGGGGCCTTGTGGTGGGTTCACAGGGCTTGCACTGTCTCTGCCCTCTCCCATGACCACTGCCTGGGCCCTGCCTGTGCAGGAGAGCGGTATTCCCTGACCCTGGCAAAGAGGGAGGCTCCCACACTGACTTTGTCCTCTGCCTGCACCCGAAACCTGCTCCAACAAAAGCCAATGTGCTTCCCTACCAGCTTTCGATAGTGTTTGAGAAACAGACAGACAGCCCCCAAGTCCCTCAAACTTCATGTTTTTCTTCTAGCCTTCAGGCAGGTTAACTATTCTTAGCCAACAATCCCTGCCTCCAGCAAGGGGTGGGTGCTGCAGAAGCCAGCACTTAGAGCAGTAGATTTGGAAAGGCAAATACCCGGAGAAGACCACAGCTGTTCTTTCATGGTTGCTCATCCTCTCCCACTCCTGCAGTAAGATATTTCAGGGAAGAAGGAATCGGCCTTGCAGTTTTCCTGGCTTATTTTAGATCAGCCTAGAGTGAAACTGCAGCAGCAGCGTGTTATGCCTCCCTTTTGGCCCACTTAGAGCTGAAATCAGATGCTCTTCAAATGGATGCCAGAGTGACCTGGAGGGATTATTTATGACAAAGAGTCCAACCTTAAATAATGCAGGCTGATAAATACCATTCCTGGGTGCCTTGGGGTTGTCACAGTCCGAGTTAAATCATTGCTAGTTTCTGGGGTACTCTCATCTGAGAAGCAGAGGGTTTCAAAGCAGAGAATTGTCTGCTGGTGAAGCAGTTCACAGCATGACTCTGGAAACAAGTTGGTGTGCTTGTACCTGGTTTAGTTTGGCTGCAGCGTTATGACTGACTGATCTAGTTCAGTGTGTTATGATATCGTGCATAACCCACTATTTGAGGACAGAGAAAGAATAAGCCTGCAGTGATAAACTGAATTACAAAGTAAAGCTGCCTGTCTGATGTGTAATTCCACACTGCAGACTATGGCAGCACTGCTAAATTGCCAGGTCTGATGCTAGTGCCACTTCAAGGGACCTGTTAGCAGAAAGCTGAAAGTGAGTTGATTGTGGAGGGAAGTGCTGAGGAAAAGATTATTGGTTTATTCTTCAGCTCATGCTCTGGGTCTTGAAGACCAGATTCCTGCT